TGGCCCTGCTGGTCCTGCCCTGCTCCCATCCCAGGGGGGGCATTCGGCTCCTCTGCTGCCCTGTGCCACCTTGGCCAGCTGGCAGGAGGAGCAGGGCTCGTTCTGGGACTGCAGGCACCTGGTGGGGGGCTGGGCAGGGACCCCAGAGCACACAGGGCACCCCACAAGGGCCACTGCAATAGATGGGTGTCACAGACATCTTTATGGAAAATCCTTTCCTAAGGTTTTTGCCTCCTGAGAAGCTGAGAGGCCTCAGGAACAAAATGGAAACATTGATTATCTGCTGCTGTGGAATGCAACGGGTGCATCTGGGATTGGCCTCATGTGGTTGTTTCTAATTAATGGCCAATCACAGCCCAGCTGGCTTGGACAGAGAGCCGAGCCACAAACCTTTGTTATCATTCTTTCTTTTTCTGTTCTTAGCCAGCCTTCTGATGAAATCCTTTCTTCTATTCTTTTAGTATAGTTTTAATATAATATATATAATAAAATAATAAATCAAGCCTTCTGAAACATGGAGTCAGATCCTCGTCTCTTCCCCAATCCAAGAACCCCTGTGAACACTGTCACACGTGTGGAGCTCCTCATAGTTCCTTGTAGCAAGGCCCCTTGGAGGCTTTATCCCCATTCAGGGCAGCTTTGAGATCTCCTTTCCTGCCTGGACAAAGCTAACAGAGGATGCAGGGCTTTAATTATCCTTCTGTCTTTGTCCAGTTTAGTTTCTCTTTGCCAAGGAGTTCAAGTGTTGGATCAGGGGGAAGCAGGGGAGGGGGTGCAGGCAGAGCTGTTTTGCCTAAAAACCCTTCTAAAAAGTCATCTCCTTTCTGGAAATAACCCAGCACTGCCCTCTGCTCCACGCTCAGCCTGCTGCAGCCTCTGTGCTGTTGGGCTGTGCTCATTAGGATGCTTTGAGAAAAGAGCTCCTTGAGGAACCTGCCCTGATACTCCCCTGCTCAGCCTGGACTTGACCCTTTGCCTGCTCACCTAAGCTCTTCTTAGGCAATGAAATGTGTAGTTTCTCTTAAAAGGAGCTCTCTTTTTCTTGGGCTGAAATCTGTAGGTTGACTGCGATCTCCCCCTAGAAGGAGAGAGCCCAAATGATGGGGACAGAGCTTCCATTTGCAGACGGAAATCCCAGTGACTGGACACGATTTCCAATTTGGCTGAAGCCTCACTCGTTGTTTCTTTGATAAGTCTCAATGAAAATATTTTTATTCCCTTTTGTTAGTTTGTTTTTAGGGTTATTTTGTGTTACCTATTTTATTTTTTTGGGGGGAGGGAGAAGAGGTTGCTATGCTGAAATGGATTTCTTTGTAAAATGCCAACTTAAGCAGTTCCACCCCTCCACCCCCTGCACATACCATTGCCTCAGTGCCACCAGGGTCCTTCTGCAGCTGCACAAGTATAAGAACAAATGGGAGAGACAAGCATGAACAGAAGCAGAACAAATGGAAAAGCAAGATGCTCGGTGAAAAATTTAGAGAAGCGTTTTAAGCAAGGAAAAGGTTGTTCCTTTTCTATTTGCTACACACCTTGGAAGTGAGGCACTGCCTGCCTGCAGGGGCAGGCACCTGCAGCAAAGCCCTGCTCTCCATTTGCACGTTCCCTTGCATTAAGGCAGGGAAGATGATGAAAAGGCACTTAAATAGCAGGATTCTCTGTACAATCACGCTGTCCTGCCCTGGTGTGCTCAGGAGTGTGTCTCAGGCAGGGCCTGGGGCTGTGCACAGCACGAGGCTGTGGTGGCATCCTGCACTGGGGCAGGAGGTAATGAGAATTTCTTGTCAGGCTTGTCCCAGGTCCCCTGAGCCAGCATGGCCGTGGCACTGCAGCAATGTTTGGTTGTTCTGGGATGGATATTTGCTCCTGGCTTCATGCCTTTTACAAGAGCACAAATGTAATGTCAAAAGAAACCACTTTGGTAATGTACTTAGAAGTTAAATATTTTATACAGTACTATGGTGATGTGATGTATTGCCTTCCCGACGTTGCTTTTTGCCTGAGGTCTGGAATTTAGGCTCATCTGTGGGGCTGCATTCCTATATCCTCTCCTCTGCGGGCCTTTTCCACAGGGTGCTGAATTCCTTTCTGTCCCTACAAAATGCTAAAAAAGCAGCTCAACCCCAGTTTGTGGTAAAATGTGAATTCTGATCACCCCATGGTTATTGTCGGAGCCCTCAGGATCAATAGCTCTGTATTACAGCAAGGCACTCCCTCCTTCTCCAGGCACGAGGTGAGAGGAGATTTGTGATGATAAATGTGGGTCAGTCTGAGCTGGCTGCCAGCACTCAGCACAGGCCAGGGACCCTCACTCAAACGTGAATATCTGCATGTCTGATTTGCATCCATCCCAATCAATAAGGTTTTCACACACCAGGATTAGCTGGGTTACCCTTTATACCCTGAGGTAACTCAAACTACTTCATCAAGTAATGAGTTTGGCTATAGATAGCACAGGTTAATGGCATGGTTGTTATGTACTCAGTTACAAAGCTTCCATGTGGCCTCAGGTATCATAAATCTGCTTTATGAAGATTGGGAGTATTGACAGAGACCCGATTCTGACTTATTCCTTCTGCAGCCTGCCAGGGATTTTTGACAATCCACTTTTAGCAGCTTCCAGCACAGGCAGAGAGAGACTTTATCTCTCTGAGGAAAACAACTGGGTGAACACCAACTTGTTTTTTATTTGCCAGCATTTGTGTGTGCTTGGAGGGTAAAACAGAGCCAGGACAATCACAAGCCAGAGGGGCTGAGCTAATTCTCCAAACCAAGGTGTGTTTGAGCTCTTCTGAATGACACTGGCTGGACAAACCAGCCCAGCTGTCTGTCTGTCCTTCCCATCTCACCCCCAGCCAATCCTTGTGCCCAGCTGCCCAGCTCAGTTTAGCAGCTGCTGAGCATCAAATGATGATTCTTCTGCATTTTTATTGCCAGGTCTGATGATAGATTTTTAAAGGTGCCAGGGCCAGAGCAGCACCAGCCTCAGGGAAATCCATGGCACTGGATCTTGCCCACCAAGGCAAACCAGGAGCTGCTTACACAGAGATTTAATGACTAAAATTGGCTCAAATGGCAGCTGCTGCTCTAAATGCACTCCTTGCAGGGTCGGTGCGTGGTTTGGGGTTCATGGCCCTGCACACAGTGGGAGCCAGGCCCCAGGCTGTGAATGCCCAATTAGCTGGGGAGGGACCATTTTCCTTTGGCTGCAGGTGGAAGTGACCCTTCTAAAGCCACTGATCCCTAATTAATTAAGGCAAAACCTTGAAGCAAAGTTTCCCTTCCAGCCCTGTTACTGAGTGCAGCCCACCAAGGCCTCCAGGCATTTCAGCAAAGGTTTGGGGTCATGTGGGTTAGGCTGGCTTACAAACCACCTTTACAAGGAGGTGGATGAAAGGTGTGGATGGGGATGTCCCTCCTCCCCAGCCCTCTGATCCCCATGGACAAGGGGATGGGTGAGGGCAGCAGCAGGGAAGGCAAAGCTGCCAGCAAGCCCTGGCTTTTCACAAAACCCCAGGGGGAGCCAGGAGGGTGTATTAAATTTGTAACTAAATTCTATTTCAAATTCTGATGTATGACTTGGGGAAAAAAACCCCAACCCAAGTGCCTATAATAAGAACTGTGATAGTAATTGTTGTTTTTAATTTTGGTACAAAAGTCCCTGGATTTAGGGGAGGGCAGCTGTTTCCATCCGCTTAGGAAAACTATTCACATGGTCAAAGTTAAGCATGCAGCTCAATCATTTGAGGAACAAGACTTTGTGCAGGCAGATAAGAGCCTAATAACACGATGATGAGAGCCCAGCCTTCCACTGATAGCAGAAACTAATATTTGTGATGCAACAGTCTTGCATTATTCAGTGGCTAAAGATAATTCTAAGAAACAGAACAGCTTGAGAATTAGCAAAACTAGCAATAAAATATTCTTAGCTGACTCCGGGGGGAAGTAAATTGCCGTGTACAGGATTTGCATTCATCTTAATGTTCATTAAAAACGAGACAGCGCTGCCTTGCACACACTTGGCCAGAGCAGCTGCACAGATCCCTGGAGTGTGACCTGCTGGCCCCACTCAGCCCTGGGCCTGCTGAGGCCTCCCCAACTCGTGGCATGTGTGGGCTGGGGCTGGGGTGAGGATGGAGCCCCAGGTGCCCCCCTGGACACATCCCCAGGGCGCCCTGAGTGACGGCTGCCAGCACTGATTGCTAATTGTGGCCAGCACTGATTGCCAATTGTGGCCAGCACCAGGGGGTTTGTCCCTTCTCCCAGGGGCGAAACTGGCCTGGAAAACAGCTGCAGAAAAGCAGGAGTGTTGGCCCTGGAGGAGATGTGCTGCTCACACAGCGATGCTGACGTGAAGGGTTTGCACACTCACTCACAGCAGCATCTCCAGCCGTGCCTTTGCTCATACACTTGCAGAAAAGGTGGAGAAATACAGTTGGGAGAAGCAAGCTCAGGTTTCCAGCAGGCCATCAGCTGGCCCAGGGTGCTCAGTTGTTCCTCAAGACCTTTTTAGACCATTCCTATTCCCTGGCAGTGGGCAGGTGGAGGGGCTGGATGCCCTGATGCAGCAGTCAGGGGTGAGCAATGTGTTAGCATAAATTCCTGAATGTGCTGGAATTGTGCTAAAGCACAAAGATCTGGGGCTGCAGGAGTGAAATCATCACCCAACTGATTTGCACCAAGAGCTCAGTGCAGCAGAAATGGATCACTTTGGGATGTGTGAGGAACCTGCATCACCTCAGCCATAATCCAAACAACAGAGGGGGAGCCCCACACTCCTGCCTTTAATGGACACAAATTTCTGCAGGAGCACCCAAGATCTCCAAAAACCTCACTGATGTTTGTGCACCTGCAGCCAGACCACCCCTTGCTGGCTCATTGCGAGTATAAGAGCCACAAACAGTGACTGAGCTGGGGTGGACATTTGGGGAACAAAAATGAAAATAATAATAAATAATAATAATAATAATAATAATAATAATAATAGTAAAGCAAGTGAGACTATTCAAAAGGGGGACTTTATTTTTATTACACTGGAGCCAGGCGTCAGTGCGCCAGTTCAGCTTTGATACACAATAAATCAGCAAACCTGTCACTCAGTTTGGAAACCAAGATTGCAGTGGCACTAAAAACACATTGAAAACATTTACTTTCTTCCCTTTTTTTTTTTTCCCTCTTTTGTTTTTGGTACAAAAATGGTACAAACAACAATACAAAATATTTGTGCTGTTGGCGGTTACAAAAAAAGGTTTTTGAACTGGGTCAACGGACGCAAACTTTTGCTTTTGTTTCAGCGTGAATACAGCAGAACAGCAGAAGTCTTCCTTGAGAACAACCACAGTCATGCGGGCTGCTACACAGCTTCTCCATCAGAAAGGAAACATGCAAAATCATCATTAAAATTAAAATTAAAAAAAAAAAGTGCTCCAATTTTACATCTACATGTTGTTGTTGTTGTTTTTACCCCTATTAGGTTTGTAGCTTCAAGCACTAACTACATTATGTACACTGTGTGTGAACAGTTGCATGTGGGGTTGGTGTGGACTGGAAAGAACTTTTATTTTCCCCATGAAACCGAGTTAATTTGCGTGGGAGACACCTACGTTGTCTGGCTGCTGTTTTAAACACTTGCATTCATCGTGGCACAGCGTTTCCCCCCCCCCCAGTATTTTTTTTTTCACACTTAAAATGAAGAGCTCCAAAAGACATCACAAATAAAAGACCTGTATTTTACCTTTAATATGTATTTTTTTTTTTTAGATTAAACAAAATTGCAATCTTGGCATATTGTGTGGTACAGACGCTGCACTGACCATTACTGTTCTTCAATGCCTGAGCGTCCACCCTACGTGAAGCAGTCACAGCCACCTCTGAAACCCCACTTCTGAAGGATGGATTTGGACCTGACTGTCCCTAAAAACCCACGGGAGCAAACTCCCCATCAGCATTGTACAGCTGCCAATGGCATTGCCTGGTCTGGCAAAAAAGGGGGGAAATGGAAAACACAAAACTAGAAGCGAAACCATGACTAGAACGTGGGACACCTAGAACAGACGTGCCTATTTACTGTCATTAATGACCTGCTGAATCTCCTCCTTGCCTTGCAAAGCATTTCTGTGACTGATGCTGCTCCCAGTTTCATGTATGTGACAAACCGACCACCAGGGCTGTGGGCCATGCTCTGCCAGGGGTGGCTGTGGGTACCCAGTGACACTGGACCTGCACAGCCCTGCCCTGGGATGTGCAATCCTCATCCTTAGGAGGAGGGGAGGCCACCACGTGTCCGGCCCCAGTGCCCTGGAACTCACTGTCCCCAACCCTTGGACAGCAGGGAGAGCTGTGGTGGTGTCCCCTGGCAGTGCTGTGGGGTAACAGGGTGGGACAGAGTGTTTCAGGGACAGGATACCCTCCACCTGCCTGAAAGTGAGTCCTTCCCCACTGCCTTGAAGGGTACAAAGAGTGGGGATCACTTCAGACAGTTTAATGTTTTAGTTTAGATTAGTCAGGGAACAGGGACTTGGTGTCAATGCATTAACCCCTTCTGTGGCCTCTCAGAATGAACAGCAACTGCAGGCTCAGCCAAGGGGTTCTTTGCCTCAGCACAGCTCCTTGTAAGTCACCATCACCTCCAGCTGCAACTGGTTGTCACTGTGTCACATCCACGAGGACCAGAGAGGGACAGAGTGATGACAAAGTCACCTTGTCAGTGGGACCCCGTGGATTAATGTAAATTTTCTTAGCTGGGTTACAAACCACCAGTAACATCAGCAAGCAAAAAGGTTTGTAAAAATGTTCTGTTTTCATTGCTGGATGTGCCCCTTGCTTACCTTTCATGGGTCCCACTGTGAGAAAAGTGGCCTGAGGCTGCTGCTGCTGCTTGTGGGGCTGTAAATCTCAGAGAGGGAGTATACAGGGAGGAAAAGGGGAAGAGGAAAAGAAGGAAGAGGTCCTGCAGAGGGAGACTGAACAGAACTGGGTCAAAACACAATAATCTGGTTGGTTTGATTTATAGGCTCGTGGTATTGGAACGGCTGGATTGCAAATGCTGCAGAAAAAAAAAAAATCTGCTGATTTAAAAAAAAATCACCAATGGAAACAGGTTGGTTTATTTTTAATCACTCGTCGTTTGACTTAGGTTGCATAAATTCTTGAAAACCTGAAATGTTTAGACAAGCTGAAGTCAGACAACATCCCCTTCATGGCTCCTTTCACTGCTGGGGAGAGTGTGCACTGCTGATGGCCTGGAGCTGCCATCCCACATCCCTGGCAGCCCTTCCCTACCTGAAACCCCTCATCCCAGCCAAAACCACAGCAGATGTTAAGCACCAAGTGCTCTGGAGCAGAGACTGAGCTGCTCTCCCAGGTAAGCAGTGCCAGGTGGATGGCAGGGCACAGCTCACAGCAGAGACCTGGCTTTGCAGGATCCACACGAGCGTTCCAGGAGCTGGCAGGCAGTGGCACAACCCAAGGGATGGAGAACCATCAGCATCACCTGGCCCTCCAGCTGAGTCCTCCTCCCGTGTCGTGACGAGGCTCCGGCGACGGACACCAGCAGCAGGAAACACCAAGAGCATTTTTATTATTCACTGTGCCTGTGCCCAGGCAGCTTCTGCAGAGGTGCAAAGCCCTGGTGGTGAAATTTTCCAGCCTGTGGCTTTTCCAAAAGAAACAGGGAAGAACCAAGAGTGCCATGGGTAAGGAAGAGAGGCTGCAGCGCCATGCAGCCTCTGTGCCAGGGAACAGGGGCTGTGAGGTTTGCCAAGAGGAGGGGGACAGCACGTGGCAGAAGCAAACCAAGACTTTCATGGTGGTCACACAAGATGACTGAGTTCACAGCAATGGAATGGGAATCTGGAAGAGTGTCAGGTGCTGCCAGCCCATGCCTGCCCATGGTGTGACATCCTCACCTTGCTGCTGCCATCAGCGCCGTCCCTCTCCTCTGAGGTCCACACTATTGCCTCCTGGTCTCCTCAAGAACCTTGGGTGAGAGTGAGTTTGCTCTCTGAGCTGTGAAAGACAAACTGACCCATTGACTGGCCGACCAAGACAAAAAGAAAGATGTCACCCTTGGTAGTTGATAACATCCTGGTAATGCTGAAGTCCCCTCGGGCAGACTTTTACCATATTCCACTTCATACAAGACACATTTCAAATGCTCAATAATTTACAGAAATTGCATTTTATAGAAAATATGATACAATGAAATATAAAATGCACTAGGAGCATTTCAAAAATCTATAGAGACGATCTTGCAGCCCAGTTTACCCTCTGAAAGGCGCCCACTCATCACCCCAAGCTCTCGTCCTCTCATTCTCGCTCTCATGTGCACGCGCTCGCTCCCCCCGCCTCCCCCCCTTTAACTCTTAGCATTCAACTTGAGAATCAATAGAGATATCAAAAAAAGTGTGATTATCCCCTGGATAATCACCTTCCAATACTGTGCACATTCTTGGATTTAAAGGAAAATATATCTAAGCACTTTTACAAGTTTTAGCGAACCCACTGCAAAATCGTCTGCAGAATATAAAACACAGGTAATCCAAGATTTCATAGCACATTAATTAAGTGGCTCATAATCCATTAAATGTGGTTTATATTACACATCCATGCAGTCTAAATCATTTTACAAACATTAGACATAAACCCACTAGTCCAAATCAGTAAAGGAAAAATGTAATAAAAAAAGCTAATAACTATTTGTTATTGGTTAAACTGACCCTACATATAAACTAGGTAGTTTGCTACCATTTATAATACTGATGTTGAATTATGCCTGGATGCTGCGAAACCTCTTGCTTACTTGGCAATGCTTGAGCATATTAACCACAAGATACTTAACAGGCCCTCGTTGCACTTCTTCTCCAAAAAAACACATTTACTACAGATAGCAGCGCCTACCCATCGAATAGAAAGGACACACATTAGCTGAGTTACACGATGTTGTTGAGCTTTGGCTACTAATGCTCCAAGGCATTAATGTGGAACGAGACTGACTCCAAACTCAGGGATGGGAGCAGTGTGGGTAAGCTGTCCCTGTCCTTGGCACTGCCTCGGCCGCGAGCACAAACCCTGCCTCAGCCCAGGAGAGCAGCACCAGTGCTGGGCATCCTCAGGGATGGGGGACACCACCACCATCATCACCATCACCATCACCTCCTCCTCCTCCTCACCCCGCCGGCGTGTCCGTGGGAGCCAAAACACGGCGATAGCAGAAAAACAAACAGATGGGCCTTTGGTCATGTCACCGTTTACTTCGGAGGGTTTAGGCAAGGGCTGTCGGAGATTTCTGTTGCAATAACCAAAGGCTTTATCAATGCTATAGTTCTATGCAGCTACATTGAGTGTGACCAGGGGCCAGCAGAGCCCTCTGGTCAGTATTTTGCATCTGATAACACTGAATTATATACAACATGATGACTAGTTCACCACCTGCTGAGGCTTAAAGATGGCTGTTAAGATTTTGACTCAAAACATCTCCCCCCCCTCCCCACCCCCCCATCTTCTTCCACCCCAGAATGAGTCACCCCCTTAAAAAAAACCAACAAAATGAAACAAAACAAAAAAAGGCAAAAAAGAAACAATCTCCACAGTTCCTTTTTGTTAACTCCTTCCCAGCTAGAACTGGCTTAGGGTCACAGGGAGTGCTGCCCAGGATGGTTGTATGTTTGTTTTCATCACTCCTGAGATTGAAGGGAATCTGACACATGCACCAAAAGGCACTTTCAAATATATATATATATATATATATTTTAAAAACAGTGCTTCTGTTCTAAGAAATTCAAGTTAAGACAGAGTGCCTTTCACTCTCTTTAGTCATAAAGCAGGTAAACGAGCAATATCCCAGCTGACATTAAAAAAACAAAAAAAAACCCAAAAAGAAACCTGCAGCAGAGACAAGTGTTCATGCGAGACAGCTCAATATTCTAGGAAAAAAAAATACAACAGAAAAAAATGAAAAAAAAATAAAGAAACTTCCTATATCACCACTAAAAATAACAATACAGTCAGCAGGGGATATTAATTAAAAAAGCTGCCACATCTGTACAGTTCTTGCTCCTGCATCGGCTCTTTTCGTTAACGTTGTCTGTGGGTTCGTTGGTTTTTTTTTGTTTCTTAATTTTTTTTCCTCCTTCTTTTTTTTTTTAAATTTTTTTTTTTTTTCTTTTTTGTAACAAGATGAGGTCAGTTTAATCTTCCTCTCCTCCCCCGTACATGTCAGCCAGTTTCTTGAAGCGGGGCCCCCAGTCGTTCAGGTAGTCGTAGTCCTGGTCCCCGGAGCTGGAGGAGTTGAGGGAGCTGACGGAGCCGGCCGTGGAGCCGCTGCCCTCGTAGTCAAACACCAGCAGGGAATCGTAGGGGGGGGCTGTGGGGTCGTTGTCTGCTGCACGCAGGCCCTGGGGGGGTGAACGCATGGATTAATGCCCACCGTGGGGTCTGAGGGATGGGGGGATGTTTGGGATCCCCGCAGCGAAGCTAAAAGGGAAAAATTACTGTCCTGGGGCTTCCCGGGTGCAACTCCAGGTAGAGACCTCTCAGCTGCCCCCACCACAAAACCCAGTAGCCCCAAGTCTCCCTAAAATAACTCATTATTTCCAATTGTTTATTTCTAATTATCCATTCTGGCTCTAAAAATCTTTGTCCTGCCAGTGTGCCCTTGCTGGGGCTGCCTGTTGTGATTTCCATCTTAGCCAATACACCAAAAACCAGCACCCTTCCTCCCCCACCAATATTTAAATTCTGGTGTTTTTCATTCCTTTAGGAAAACAAAATATATAAAAAAAAAAAACCACTCCTGGCAAAACTGTGCAATTAGGACAGACGTGGGGTGTGGAATCCTGGGCAGAGGGCTGGGGAGCATTGCTGCTCCTGTGCAGCGTAGGCAGCAGCGTAGGCAGGCCATGGAAATGGCCTCGGGATATGGAGAAAAAGAATTGCTTTGCTGCAGAGCCCAGCGTCAGGAAAAGCCTCATGGAACAGCCCTGCAATAAAGCAAATGTTCCACATTCCCACCTTCAGAGGCCCTGACCTCAGTGTGGGGAGATGGAACCGGTTTCAGCAGCAGGGGCTTGTGAGGAGAGCGAGTCTTCATGGATGTGTGTAAATGTGAGAGAAGGATGGGCAAAGGGACAAAGGAAGAAGGGATTTTAATGATGAAAATGAGAAAAGCACAGCAGGAAATGCATGTAATAATAGAATTAAATGGCTGTAACATTTATTTTTCTGGCTTAGGAAATGGATGGTGTGCTTTGTCTCGGAGGAAATAATGTATTGATTGGTTTGTAACCACTCAATCACTCAAAACTAAAAATGAGATAAGAAATACAAACTGGATAGATATTTGTACAGGCAGATAAAGGAGAAGTAATCTAAGATAAAATAAAGAAACTCTCTCTGATCTGAGTCTCTCTGTGCTGTGAACTCTTTGAGGCTTTACACCAAACAGAGCTTACGAGGAAGGCACAGACTGCTGAAATAATTACAAGTCCAGGAGCCACAAATGGCTCATTCTGCCTGGGTTCTGAAAAGCATGGTGTTTGTGACACCCACAAGACAGAAATCTTGGGCTTTTTGCTGGTTCAATGCCTTCATTAGGCCAAGCCCTGCATCCTTTGCTCGTACCAATCCTCAGATTTCTGGCCTGAGCAGCTGCACTGCTTGTCCCGTGCAATCAGGGAAACCTGACTTTAGCTGGCTGCTCAAGCTTTGAAGATGTGACACAGGACCCCCTACAGCACATACCTCGTTAATAAAATCACCAATATCCCCTGGGTGTGGGATTACTGGTCTTATGGGATACTGTGGCTCAGCACCAATAGGTCTTTCATCCACCCTTCTGACTCCAGGTGTCTTGTTCAGCACGTGATCCATGGTCTCTGGCTGCTGGAGCTGGCTTAAATCGTAATCCTGTGACAAATGGGAAGGCACAGTGTGAAACCCAGAGCTTTTCCTTCAGATCACCTACTCACTCCATGTGCAAACAAGTCAAGGGCTCTAATTCTGTTTCAGCTGAAGTTTGATGGCAAATCTTATCCCTGGGTATGTAGCACCTCCATCTGAATTACAGATGAACCTGACCTCTAAGGAGCTCATAAAATTGACTTCCTAAGAGTGTATCTTATAAGTTAAATTAAGTATTTAAATACTTTCTGAATATTTCACACAGTGTCTAAATATTTGGGATGAAACCCTGGCTTTTGTTTGTGTGTGCACAGATGTACACATAACTTTTTTGATACAATAGACAATATAATGTAGAGACACAGAGTTAGTAGACATATTATTGCAATTACATTTCTACAGAAGTAAAAACATTAAAATGTGTATTGCATTTATGCATGTAGACCTTTCAAAGTAATTATGTTCTTTTTGCTTGTGAAAAATCCCAACAGAATACGTTTCTATCATGAAATGAGAACCAGGTAATATTTCATTAAAAATGTATTCATGTAGGTAATGGTGTTTTGCTGCTTATCCTTTTGCTGTTATTTTTAATGAATCCTTCCTAAAATATTTAAGCCCACTGTGTAGTTGCCTGAAACCAGATACTTCAGCTACTTGGAATGCTTAGAACAGTGCTTTGTTCTACCAGGAAAACTATCCTTGTGCTCAGATGGGGATGATTGAATCTCCAGGAGCAATATTTATAAGTAACCTGACAGCAACAGGAAAAAAAAGAAATGTTAATTGCAAGGATTTTTCTGTGGAATAAGAACTTTTCAAGGTTTAGGTAAACTCCTGCCTCAGAGTTTTCCATGGCAGCTCTCACTGGGCTCACCTGCTCGCCACCAGGACCTCCATGGCAGGATGTGCTGCGGTGGTTTTGGGGGATCCCTAAGCACTGACCTGGAACCATGCAGGCCAATTCAATAAGCAAAAATAAAGCCATTACACAATGTACAGCCACATAATCTGCATGAACATCATATCTGAGAGTGTCCTGGGCTCTTTACTCGTGTTTGGAAGGAGTAAAAAACCGGCGACTTCAACATGAGTGACCCAAGTTTGCTATTTTAGCTGAGGAATGGGACAGGTAGCAGTGGAAAAGCACATCCAGGAGGGCAGGCCAGGGAGGTTTTCATGAATATCAGCACTGGTGTCTGTAGGAAGAGCCACTGGAGGAAAGCTGATGTGTTCAGGCAGCCTGTGGCTCAGGGCTCTGCCACCCAGCACAGCTTTGCCACCGCGCGCTGCGTCGCGAGAGAAAATCCCCAAATCTCTTTAGACGTTTCTCACAAACCATGTCCAGAAATTAAAAGAACATTAAGGCACATTAGAGATGATTAAGTAAATGCAGGGAAAGCCCACAGAAGATCAAGCAAGCCACAGGGGTGGGCAAGGCTGTAGCTGCTGGCTGGTTTTACAAAGATCTCTGGTAAAACACACAATTTTAATGACTTAAGTAACAGAAATGTGGTTTGAACATGAGTGTCAATGCAGTGATTTATAGTTCGTCTCCAGGAAGGTGCCTAGGGGGCAGAAAAATCCCTATGGCACTGGCCTCCTGGCATTGTCCTGCTTGCACAGGAGGGTGTCCCACTAATATCCTGAATGTCCTGGACCTGCTGTCCTTCCACCACACCAGGGAAGCCAATAAAGCTGCCTGGTCGTAAATAAAAGAACACAACCCTTTGCATGTATTTTACTAAAAATAATGTGGTTTCTGCGTTTTTTGAGAGTACAGATTGCCCAGCAGCTCCTTGGCCACAGCTCAGGGTCTCTCCTCACCTGATCCTCCTCTCCACCTCCCTCCTCATCATACTTGAGGATGTTGTCCCTGACGTCGTCCTCGGGGTCGATGAGCAGCTGCTTGGTGTGCCGCTCCTTCTCCCGCCGCTTCATCCACACCACGAACAGCAGGACCATGGCTGCAACGGGGACAGGCTGGGTCAGCTGGCACCTCCTGCAGCACCAGGCCAGGCTCAGGGTGTCCCAACTCCTCACCTACCCCCGCCCACTGCAGAGAACCCCACTGGCTGCTGGCTGGAGGAATAAAATGTTAACCTATTGTGTGGTCTGGTTTTTAAATGAGAGATCAGTGAGAGCTGTAAATACTGTGACAGATTCTCACTACAAACATTTCTTTAAGATCCATCACCAATGCTGACTGAGCTGATATTAATCAGGAGTAAGACACACAATCAAAGGAGAAGGAACCAGAAAGTGTGAAAACTGCAGCTCTCTGAAAATATTTGATCTGAATCCTGAGGTTTCAGGATTAGATTTCCACCTTTATTTTATTCAGGGATATAAAGATGGAGGGAAGAGAGCTGCAGAGAAGGAAACAGGTGCAGATACCAAACATTTGTGCACAAGGGGCTTTTCCAGCAGCATGGCACAGGTTCAGCCCGTTCAGGTCATGAGCCCTGACTGTGACAGTCTCTGCTGTTTTCTGCAGTTGGCCAGGCAAGACTGATCTGGGGAGGATGCACAACACTGAGTCCTGTAATCCAATTTGGCCTCCCTCATATTCCTCTTTGGTCCATGAGGGAGGCTCTTTAGACTTCTGAGATCAGATTAGCCAGGACATTAGCACATGCATTTGGCCATCGACTTGGAAAGCAAATCTCAGATCATCTGAAATCCTTTCAGAGAGCAGGACTAGCTTTGCAGAACGAGGGAGAGCAATCTGGTAGCACACAGCCAAGCTCCTCAGGCATCAGCATTTGCATGCCAGGCTTGGCCACTCTCTCTCAGCACAGGAACAGCGGGAGATGAGCAGTTCTTGAATCATGAGAAATTTTTCCCTTCTAAAACAACTTTACCCACAGGGAACACTCGCTCACTGCTCCACAACCTCAGCCTTCAAAGGGACACCCACGCCCCAGGGGCTGGCTGTGTGCTCCCTGTGAATTACTGCATGAATATCTGGGAACTCAAGTCTTCACTGACATAAGGCAGCCAGATCTTCTCCAAGAACGTGTTAATGCGTTTGTTTTCATTCTTGTACTCAGTGGCTGCAAATAAAGCCCTGAAGAATGAAAGTTCAGCCTGGGCGGGTGCTGCAGCCACACCTCCCACTGCCTGCTCTCCCCTCCATTCTCCAAGCAAGCCCCTCACTGAGCTGCAGTGGTGGCAATTTGCAGGAGGAGGGAGCAATGGATGGACAGTGGAGAAGGGAAGAAATGTCCCAGGTTCATTTCACCTCAGTCAACCCTCAACTGTGCCAAACCAACTCAGCCAACCAAGCAAACTCAGGCAGGACGTGAAACCCCAAAATTTGGGGTTTTTAGCTGAGACCAGACCCTGATGGGCTGTCCAGCCTGCAGGAGGATGAGGCTGGGAGGATCCAAATTCTTCCTCCCAGCACCAAAGTGTTTATACCCAAAAGGAATTCAGAAAAATGAGTGAAGAGGATGGGACAGCTAATTACTGCCATTGTGTGCCAACTGGCACATCCCTGCCTGCCAGCTAACAGAATTGTTTTCAGATAGTTCAGCATTTCTTTAATGCTTATCCCAGATCTATTCAAGAAAGAAAAAAAGAAAAGGAAAGAAAATGTAACTCTCATCTGTAATATAAAACCTCAGCTATTTAGCAGACTATTGAAGTCCTTTTTTCATTGTTCCTTTTCAAGTCTCTCACAACAAGATACCTGACTGGTCCACAAAGACAATATTATAATGGTTACTGGGGTTTATCTTTTTATTTCCTCTTTTTTTTTTTAAATGATACTTTTTCATGCACTTGTGGAAAAAATGGTGCCATTAATGCCTTTACAGCTACCTTGGAAAAAAAACCACCTTCAAAGTGTCAATGGTGGATGTAGTGCACTCTCCTTCCTTTTATTCACTCTGCAGAATGGGAAGTGCTATTACTGCTGTTAGAACCATTTTTGCTCTGCATGTAGTTTTCCTTGAAATCTATTGTCTTCACCCTTCACAATTTTTTACTGCATTGCTCTTCTAAATGTGTTATTTGTGCAGGTAATACATCAGGTAGCAAGAAGAAGAAAAAAATCCCTTTGAGCAAAGGTAAAGGCATAAACTTCCTTCACAGGAGCAATCTTGGATCTGTCCCCTTGTTTCTTCTTCCTTTTAAAGTCATCCAACTTTGACCTGCTGACTCTAAAATGGACAAATAGCACAAGAAAATCCCTCTTCTGCCTTTTTCTAGGCTATTGTTTAGAGGTCATGATATGAAACAGACAGAAAGGAGGCAAAACACTGGAAGGATGTAACTGTAAAACTGCTCATTGCAAATTACATTTTTCATCACTGATACAGTGCTTTGCAGCTCTCCAAGATAAAAAAAAAAAGTCAATTAGAATTACAATGAATGTAAAAATAAGCTTTTGTAATAAAACCCGTAATTTAAAATGGGATAATGTATCTGAAAATGGAAAGAGGAATCTCTTAAATCAAATGTCCTTCAGCTGAAGTTAATTTCAGTCAATAGGATTTTCAACCGTTTTAAATTGTGTTTTAGCACTGGATTTATACAAGAGCAGCAAAAAAAAGACCTGTGTTTAATCACCTCTAGGTGAGCCCAAACTTTGAGCCCAGGAGCAGCAGCAAACCTGCACAGCAAAAGGTGAGGCTGATGAACACCTTCATCTTCATCGGGGTGTGCGACAATGGTGCCCCAACAAGCACCCAGGCTGAAGGGAGCAGCCAAAGCTGGGAATGGGGGCAGGAACAGGAGCAGCCAAAGCTGGGAATGGGGGCAGGAACTGGGCACCGTGTCTGGGCACAGGGATGGATGTTCCATCAGCTCAGCTGGGCTGGGCGAGGAGCAGGGTCTGCACAAACACCCAGCCCCTTCCTCACCCTCTGCTGATCCAGCAGATCAATCGCACACCAATGCATTCCCAGCACCAGCCCAGGATGTGGATGAAGCCCAGGGTGACCCATTCTCCTACTGTACCCTGTCATAGCCCCATGAGGTGACACTTGGAGCGTATGTTGCTCTGTCTGTGCTCTGTTAAAACACACTGAGGGTAAATATTAAATGTGACTTAGCACCATAACTCCCATTAGCTTTAATGAGAGTCCCATGGATTCATCCTGTGTTTCTTGATTAATATTTACCTCATTGTTCATTTCAGCGCTTGTTTTTATCTATTCCTACTGTGCCAACTCCTGCTTGAAGTTATAATGATCTAATTTTTACTTTTTAGATGTGCACACATGGTTATTGGTAATGCTCATGGAAGCTTGGGACTCCTGGGCAAAAGGGATAATTTTGCCTCAAGGAAAGGGATGGCCAGTCCTCTGTGATGTATCCTCCATAATTTCTGACAAACTGAGAATCCTTCCTTTAAAAACACTCAAAATCTCCCTAGTCCGAGGTAATTTTAAAAGCAATGGGAATAACTACCATTCTTCTTTTCCTTGGAACAACCAGAAAAACACAGTTATGCACTGGCTCTGCAAGGGCCTAGGCAGACTCTCATAACCAGTGCATCTGGTACTGGGAACCAGTATATCCACAGCCAGACAGACACGAGAGCTGTGGGAGAATCTGACAGAGAAATTTGGAAGGAGCCTTCAACCTTTTCCTGCAAAATGTGGATGATCCTATCACACTCACTACTTACAAGTTGTTGTCAGGTGTAATAATGTTTGCAAAGCTACTGGAAGTCTTAGAAAGACAAGTTTGACACAGGCAGAGCTCATTTTGCTGATGCTGCAGTGAAGGAGGTTTGAATGCAGATGTGTGAACCACCTCCCCAGCCCAAGCTCAGGGACCTGCCCTCTGCATGGAGCTTGAAAAATACAAGCCATAGGAAAGAACAACAGGGAAACATGAAGGAGTGTAGATTTAGGGCAGATTTTGGAAGAAATTCTTTAGTGTGAGGGTGTGGCATGGGTTGCCCAGACAAGCTGTGGCTGTCCCATCCCTGGAAGTGTCCAAGGCCAGGTTGGACAGGGCTTGGAGCAACCTGGGATAGTGGAAGGTGTCCCTGCCTGTGACAGGAGGGTTGGAACGAGATGAACTTTAGGATCCCTTCCAGCCCCCAGCAGTGTGTGCTTTCAGGCCAGGCCCTGTGGTACTCACTCAGCAGGATGATGATGCAGATCAGGATGGCAATGATGGCCCCCGTGCCCAGCCCCGCGGCAGCCACGGCGCCGATGGTGGTGCAGTCGCCGTTCTCGTCACACGGGCACACCTTCACCTTGATGACCGAGGTATTGTACAAGGGGGGGTTTCCTGAGTCTGTCACGATGATGGGCACGTCGTACACTCCTGCTTCCAGGTACATGATCCGCAAACTGAGCTGGGCATAGTCCCCTGGAGACCGAGACAGACAGACAGATAGATGACAGGCACTGGTAGAGCCTTGCAGCCACACCTGTGCAGGCTTCTCTGCCAGAGCTCTCTTCTGAGCCCTGCAGAAGAACTTAGCAACATCACACCTGGGCAGGACAGCTTCAGATCTCTGCCCCAACAGTTTGGCCAACAACCAGGCTGTGCTTTGCCAAGTTCTGTGGGCTCTCACTGCTGCACTCAGCTACCTGCATGCCATTTGCAAACCCACTTGCATGTGTTCAAAACGGCATCAAACAGGAACACATGGATATTGCTTCCTGAGGCTGGGCTGCCCCTGGCCACTTGTGCAGGTTCTATACTCACTCACCCTTCCCCCTGAGGATTTTGGGAACTCACTGATGGCAAGCACAGGTAATCCCGTTGTGACTGAGCCCTCAGCCCTGAGCTGTTGTCCCTGGTCTCTGCCAGACCTCAGCGAGAGGGACCAGCATTGAAGCCAAAACCAGCCCAAAGCTCCATGATATTTTCCATCCTCTGCTGAAACTGCCAATAAGCAGAGCAATTAGGGCCATTTGTGGTTGCACGCTGCACTATAAAAATCCTTCACATACTGGTAATCTTCACACTTACCTAGCCCTCCTGGTTCCATGGTAAATTAAAAGGCTGCCTTTATGCAATTATGGTCAGAGAAATGAACATTGATCCTGATTGTGGCTTATGACAATTACACTGGAGGAACATAAGGAAGACTGATAATAGCTTTTTTCCCCTTGGCCATTATGGATGATTTATACTCTGTTCACTACTGATAACTGTTCATAATTATGAACTGCATTAAAAAAAGCCAAGTGCCAAGGCTCTTAGAGTTATACTGCAGGTCTGATACAAATCATTCCTGATTAACTATCTTGTCTATAATGTCAGCCATAATGTGCTTTAAAAAATAAAAATCACATTTAAAAAAGTGGGCAAGTTTTGAATTTGGAAGCCGCGCGTGGGGCTCATCAGCGAAGCGGAGCCCAGATGTGACGCAGACATCTTTTCATAAAAATCCTTTCTTTAGGATTTTCCTTCTGGGAAGCTGAGACCCCAGAAAAAGAATGTAAACAATGGTTATCTGCTGCTGTGGAATGCTACATGTGCACCTGTGATTGGTGGATGTGTATAATTAATGGCCAAACAAGGACTGAGCTCTCTCTGGGACAGAGTTGGAGACAGCTCCTTTGTTATTCATTCTTTTCTATTCTATGCCTAGCTAGCCTTCTGAGAACTTTCCTTGCATTTCTTTTAAGTACAGTTATAATGTAGTATAGATATCATAAAATAATAAATCAAGCCTTCTGACCATGGAATCAACATTCTCGTCTCTCTCTTCCCCTCAAAACCCTTGTGACCATGGTCACACGGGTGAGCTCAGGACTGCGTGCCCCGTTTACCATTGAGCCTGGAGATGGTCCAGTTCTTCCTCACTGCAGAGGGCACGCTGGGCAGCTCGAAGACGAAGGGCCCCACGTTGGGGTCGATGTCGGCGTCGGCGGCCGTGATGTTGATGACGTTGAGGTTGGGCTTCTCGCAGATCTGCGCCTCCTTGGGCAGCAGCTCGGGCGCGTTGTCGTTGATGTCGATCAGGTAGATCTGCAGCGTGCCCGTGCCGCTGGCTGGGGGGATTCCTGCACGGGAAACACCGACCTGTATTGCCAGGAGGAGCTTGCCCAGGGACCACAGAGACCCACTGGCTCTGAACTGAGGCTCATGTGGATAAACAGACTTTTCCCACCATCTCCCCTCTCTAGCAGCCTCGAGCTGCTGTAGCACAATGTCTGGGGCTGTAGGGTGACCATCAGTCCAGCAGGATGGGAGGAGGAAGCAGAGGGATTGGCAACACCACACACCAGCCCTCTTTCTGCCTTCCGGGCCAATAAACCAGGATTTTCACCTTCCCTCCCTGGACCTCATTAGGGACATACTGCACTTCCATGGTCCCTTGCTTTATGTGGTATAAAACTTCCCCAAGCCTCCTAATGTTGCTGTTTTTCACTCCTGCAGAACAGGAGGTTGAGTTCTGCAGATCTGTAGCCTGCAGCAATGCCCCTAGTCAAACTAAAACTGCAAGGAGGTGATGCCAAGCTGCTCCTGCAAATCTTGGTAATGGCTGTTTTAAAGAAGAAAAACCATTAGAAAGAGAGCTGACAAGAGGAAGAAGAGGGCTTGGAGGGGAGAAAAACCTACATAGTGTAACTCATTGGTCAGCATTTACTGTAGCACTTGCTGGCCAGTTTTCAGCTTTGCAGACTATTACTCTGCTTCAAAGAAAGCCCAGCATTGTCCCATATCCAGCCCCAGCTTTAGTGGTGAGAGGTCCCTGCTCAAAGCCCACAGTATGAGCCACCACCAGACCTGCTGGGTCACTAACCCTCAGCAGCAGTGTTAGGTCCCACCACACAATTCCCCATCCTCTCCACGTCTGTCCCAACCAGCAGGGATGTCACAGCACAGCAGTCCTGGCCCTCCACCTATTCCTGATGGAGACTCACATTTGTCAGACTAATGACTACTCACACAAAGTAGTATCTGCCCTGGCAGGAGAGAACAGCCTTCCCAGAAATGGCACAGTGTTTTTCTTTTCTCTCCCCACACATTTATCTGGCAGCTCCCTCTGCCTGCATGGCTTCAGCAATTCTTTTTAAAGTTTGTGTTTCAGTCCTGGCCCTTCCTCCCAGTGCTAGATACAAAGCTACACAAACCACTTCCCCATCAGGCTTCTGCTTCCACAGACCTTCCTTCCCACATTCCTTTCTCCATGTCTCAAGGGAGCCTCAAAAACTCTGAAGGAGCCCTGGATATCCTTTTTTCGTGGTTCCCACATAAGCTCTTCAATCATGGACTCTCGTCCTTTCATCCTGTAAGCATGGGGTAGGTCTCCCTCTAAAACAATGTCTTTTGATCAGCCTTGAAAGCTTCTGGAGAGGCAGACAGCTCACCAGGATACTGGGGCTGAACATGAAAACTGACTTTTGGGACCAAGCAAAGTGATTTTACTGCTTTCACATTACCCAGAGTATCTTCCGGGATAAAAGCACTGTAACCTCTGAGACAGACTGAACACAAACCCTCAGTCCTGAGAGGCACTAACTGGCACGTGGCTGAAATAACCTGCAATTGCTGCATGTACAAATGCACTTTTGTTGGGCCATTGAGTATTGTTGGGATCTGAGTCCTGGTATTTTTGTTTCTTTGTGTCCCTGAGTGCAATTCCAGGCCAGTTTTAGGAGAAATGAAAAGTAAACAAAGTTTTAATGCCCATGTCCTACAAACTACAGAACATTTCAAATTATTTCAGCTGTCTTATATGGAGAGAGCAAGGACACAGAGCAGGTGCTGATGTGCAGTGAAGGATCCTTGGACTTTATCCTCAGTAGATAAAATAGCACCACTGACTCCAGTGCAGAAGCTGGTCTGATCCCTAAAATTAAGACTGAAATACTAATGACAAAAGGAAGAAGACAATACAACTTCTGCATCTACATTTAACTGCTGAATTCACCATCACTGCCTTTTTCACAGGGCCAGTGTCTGCATTCCCACAGCAAGGTGTAAGCCAAGGTTTTCATGCTCAGCTCTTTGTTTCATGAATGGTTTATTTATTTATTTCATGGTGGAATATGATACATTTAAGTTCTCAGCTTCCCTGGGAGATTGGCTGAAATTGGCTGAAGGGTTCAAACACTGCCAGGCTCCCCTCTTGTGTGGACACAGTGTGATCCAAGGGACTCTCACCTCAGAAACCAGGTTAAAGCCATGCTCTTGATTAGGATTCCCTTTTTGCCCTCCTTACACTGCAGCCAAGACTTTTCTTAAAGACAGCATCTCTACACTGGAGCCCAGGGAGAGAAAGAAAGCACGTCCAAGGAGTATTGGCTAAACTTCTTTATCATGTACTGAGAACAGCAAAAAGAACTTCAAGGAAAGAAGATGCTGCTGCTTCTTCAAGAAAGAGAGAAAAATCCCCAGCAAAACCCTTGACCCAAAGCTTTTCTTTGATGCTGGAGAACCTGGAACTTGGGAGCAATGTGGTAAGAGTCTATTAGCCTAGATGGAACTTCAGCTGTTATCCTAAGCACTCTAGACAGAATTTTAAATAAGGTGTTGCTTTATGTGCATTTTAATGGCAGCAATATACTAGTGATAGATTAATTTTTCAGAATAAAGAGATTTATCTAGGCCCTCACTTTCTGAGCTGCTGAATGATGGATGTGGAGGTGCTGATGCACTGCTGCATCAACACCACAGCCAGGGAAAGGGGTTAACTCCACATCACATTGCACCAAGTGCTTGAATTTGCAAGGTCAGATGGTGAGGATTAGGTTGATAGGTTCAAACTCTACCCCTGCACCTGTGAACAGCCCTGGCCTCCTCATTTGACCTCTTTTGCCCTGTGGCTTTTGCAGATGAACACCACTGGACAAATTTGAGAATATTCTGAATTTCCCTGTCCTGGCTGCCTTCATGGAGGGAAGCTCAGGACGGGGCTGTGGGGTGAGTCCTACCATCCATGGCACAAAGAAGGGGCAAAATGCACTTCTTGGTTCAGCTCCTCTGCACTGAAACTCCTCCATGAGTTTCCCTCATCCCTGTCACCTGGGATGCAATGACTGGAGTGATGCACGGAGCCCCAGAGGGAGGAAGTTTTCATTAGCCCTGCAACAACCACCAAATCTGCTCATAATGACCAGGGCACCTCCAGCCCAAGGGATCTCACAAACACTGCCCTGGAAGCACCTGCAGAGTATGAGAAATATATTGAGGTGCTCACAGCCAAGCCCAGACTGAACTGTGCCGCTGAAGCAGGGCTCTGGTTTGAGAGCTCAGCACCCTGCAGTGGGAAATGGGGGTGGTGAGGGGGAGGAAGGCCTTCTCCTTGTCCTGGGAAACTCCTGAGCCTTTTCCAGATGGAGGAACTGAGAAATGAAATTCCAGCATGGCCACATTTGGGTGCTGTTAGCACAACTCATCAGTTCCTCCCAACCAGGATTAGGAAAAGCAGAGCAGCAGCACTGGGTACCTGCCCTTGAGTGAGGCCAGTGCAGCTCTCAGTGCTGACTGGACCAAAAGCACTGAGTGATCTTCAATGAGAACAGCAAACAAGACTTTTCCAGGAGATCTGAGTGGCTTTGGTAACAAGCACAGCAGCACCCAGATGATCTGATGACGGCTGCACATTTCAGGCAGGCAGTGGCCAGAAGGAGCCCAGCTCCAATGACAGACACACCTTTTGTGAAAGCCACCACGGGTTCAACAGATGGGCTTATTTTCAATACCCTCCTGCCATCCCATAAAATTATTCCTGGCTTCCTGATGGAAGGCTTCCTGAATGCTGTGATCAGTGCCTTTGGGAGGATTACCAGGACCTGTGTGCTCGGCAGCCCCTGGAGAGCACATCCCTCTGACACTTTTTTAAGTTCAGGCTACACCGCCACACTGAACTCCCCAAACCAATTTTCCATTTGTCCTCCCTTTCCCTTAATAACACTCCCCGTATACTGTGCACATTTAATTTACTCCAGCAATTTCCCGTCCCACTTTCACATTTTTTGACCATAAAAACCTGGGAAAAAGATAACTTATACTGACAACTCTGTCAGGGCATCATTTCTCTTAATGCATCACATTAGAGTCTTATTGAAGCATGAACAATGTGAAGCCTGGGCTCACCGTTGTCAGCCGCCAAGAATGTGGCCTCGTAGACATTATTCTTAATGTAGTCTGACTCTCGATCAAGGACAGCAGCAGTAGTGATCTGACCATTTGTGGCATTAATGTTCAGCCAGTTTGCAGGATCTGACAGCTTAGAGTATCTACAGAGAAAGGAAATAAATACATGGCAGTCTTTTCACTGACATATCCTTAATATTGCTTGAAATACGTTTTTTTTTCCTGGACTCCTGACCTGTGATTCAAAGGACCTTTGGATAACTGGTTTTGTTGACAAACACAATGCTAATTGAGTATCCGGTTTTTGACCTTTACAATTATTCAATTTTTCAATTACTTTAGTTTTAAAGGTTTTTCTTTCCACTAAGTGCCACTTACATGCCAGTTTCCTGCTGCTAGGAGAGGGCATTTCCTGAGGTCTCTGCAGCTGAGCACAAATGGGGTCTGCAAAGACCATTGCATTCATATGCCTGAATTAGAGGATGGATTCCTGCTTTCTCCTGCTCCCGACCCTGCCCTTCTGAAAGCAGCTTTTTACAGTCAAAGTTATTCCTGTTTTCTCTCCACCACTAATAAACAGCAGTTTGGGAATACCACACTGTCAGAGTTACCTCTCAACTACTCAGTCAATTCACAGCTGTGTTCTGTTCATGTCCCATGCTGAGAACATGGGGGGTTTTTTGGGCAAATTTTTCCTCTGTTCTCCAGATCAGTGTGTTCAGTTCATCCTTGCTCATCTTCTTGCTTTTCTGCCTCCCAGTTTTGTACTGTTTGAAGTGAGATGGACCATAACTATCCAACTGGAAGCTAATAAATGGCCAGACTATAAATTACTGAAATAAGCAAAGAGAAGCTGAGCTTATTTCATGGGTAACTCAGACCTGCTGATAGTTTTATATAATTTGTCATTAGATATGCAGGTGAGAGCTTTACTGGCTTCTGGTGAATATCTCTTTGCAGAATTGGGCTGTTTGAAGCAGAAACTCAAAGGGAAACCTGAGCTGAGTCAATCCATGTGAAGAGAAAAGCAACACACAGCTGCACAAACTCCTGCCAAAGGAAAGAATTACATTTCATGGAGCTAGACTCTTTGGGATGTTTTCATTTCAATATCACTGCTGTGAGGCTCCTGCCCTTTCTCTGCTGAATGACCAGGGATCCAGTTTCAAAGCTGGCTTTGTGAATGTGTCTGTGGCTAATGAGGATAACCTGAGGTGTGACACTGCCCACGCCAAGCTGTGCATTACTGGAGATGCTCCTGCTTCCTCATCTTCTATTTGTAAAATCTCTATTTCATCAAAGACTATTTAGAGACTGAAATCTGTATGCAAGGCTCTAGCAGCTGGATCAGCTCTGCAAAGTGCTTGTCATGGATCTGTAGGTTTAGCCTTTTGGGTATCTTTTTTCCTAACTCATCAATGCCAACTGTGAAGTAAAAAATAAAATATCTTTTTTACATCTGACAAAGACAGGACCCCAAAACCACCCCACTGCTTCCTGCAGAGCCTGGGCATTGGCTGTCCTGATGCAAAGGGAGAGAGATTCCAAACACTGGGGTTTGGAAATGCTGGTGGATGCACAAAATGCATGTCCTGGAAGCTCTAGAAAGAAACAACCCAAGTAACTGGCTGCTCATACTCACAGGAAACTTTACAAGACCCTGCACATGCCCTGTGCAATGACAGCAACAGCAGGAACTCGTTTGGATTACAGATCACCCCTGTTCAGGTTAGAGGGAGTACTCAATCACAAATGAGTTGTTCTCTCCTCTGAATGCCAGCCTTGGTACAGACATCAGGGAAATAAAGACCCTTCAAAGGCCAATATTTCAAAAAGAACATAAGAAAAATGGGCTTGTTAGTTAGGATGGTCTCTTTCCTCCAAAGTCACAATCCCTGTCTAAAGATAACAAGATGAGGCAGTGAATAAACTACCATTTTCTAGACCCGACAGCTCTGTGCCAGGTGAAATATTTCAAACTCTTCCTGACACAAAATGTCACAACTGATGCAAGTTTAAGTGGCCTCAGCCGTGGTCATGTCGTATACTCAGGTTGCCAAAAATACCACAGCTCTTACAGAGTGGGAGCAAAAAAGAAAACAATTTCTGTTGATGTAAAAGTATCCAAGATCAGGAAATGCATTTCCTCTCTGCACAGAGGGAGCTGAAATAGTTGTGAAAGTGTCACAAGGACTCATTCTCACCTACACTTTTCTGCCAATTATTTCCTGCTGGGGAGGTGTGTGAGCTGGGGTCCTGGACCCTGCATTCAGTCCCTGCTCTGCCCAGGTGGGACAGAACAGAGTGAGTGACACCCCCTGGTCACAGCACGAATTAAAAGTGATCTTAAGCTGCTTGGATGGAAATCTGACTTGTACAAGGTTAAAATTTTGCCAGCTGAATCCCATTCATAGGGAAAGCAGCTAAGGGAGGTTATGTTAGGCAGGTGCTCTGAAGAAAAAGGGAAGTTTGGAATAAATTGCACCTACTGGGAGCAGGCAGGGGGAACACTGGTGAGATACAGACCAAGTGCCAATGGCCTGTGAATGGGTGTTTGACTGTTCAGGCAATACTGAACAATTTGGCACTTTAGAAGCCTGCCCAGCAGCTGTTTGTAACCCCAGAACCCTTGTTCTGAACTAGTCACAGCTCCTCTTGCACTGTGCTTTTTAGCAAGGTTGAACCTAAATGCTCTGTAAGCAACACAAGGCATGATTAAAAAACCCAGCCATTCCCTTTGAAAACCCAGGCCTTTCTATGCCTCAGTTTTCCCCCTTAAAACAGAAATAACAAAGATGCCTTTTTCTAAACCTCTGTGTTTATGAAGTGCATGAACCACACAGGTCAGAGCACCCTGGGTGAGGCAGAGCCAAAGACTGGGTACAAAGAAGCCCTGATCTCTGTAAGAACACAGAAATCTGCTTCATTTGAAGGTGTGATCTGCCCCACAGCAAGCCAGTAACCCAGGCTCCAACTCTGTCTGCTCTCCTTGACCCAGCTGCTCAGAGCCTGCCTTACCTGGAGCAGGGGGCTGTGAGTTTACAGATACTTGACTGCAGGTGCCACTCCCTGCCAAGATCTCATCCACATCCCACCAGCCAGTCTGGAAATCAGCTCTCAGCTGTTTGTGCCCCCAGATTCATGCAGCTGAGCCCCCCCAGCTGCAGGGGAGCCCCAGGCTGCCTGGTGTCCCACCTTACTGCCTGCTGCATGAAGCGATCGGGATCCACCGCCGAGAACGTGGTCAGCACCGTCCCCGTGGGCACCCCTTCCTCCAGCCGGATCAGCTTGTGGTTGGTTGGGAAATACGGGGCCTCGTTGACATCTGTGACCGAAATGGTGACTCCTGCTGTCGACTGGAAGGACATCTGGATGCCACTGGCCAGGGGAGCTTGGTTTGACACCATCACTGTCAGCATGAAAGCTCTGTTCATCTCGTAATCCACTGCCTGAAACAAACAAACAAGCAAGTGTAGAGCCAAGCAGAGAATAAATTCTACCTTCTGGCTGGGAGCTGCAAGACTGGAAGGCAGATGATATCAAAGTCATTGCCTGATCTTGTTTCCTCCTGAGCTCAGTCGTTTTGAAGGTGTAAATCCAGAGCAACTTCAATCCAGTGGAGGATTTGGCCATCCAGTTTTTAGAGGGTCAAGTAGTTAAAAAAAATTCCACAAAGGAAAAACTGCAAACAGCAGGGAGCATTTGCCCTGTATTTTGTTCCATTGCCAAGTGGTTTCCAAAAGACAACGAGCCTGTGAGAGCTGAGCATCAAATGAACAAACCCACCCAGGGCTGCTCTAATGCAACAGGTGGAGCCTGTTCAGAGGGTTGGGACGAGCACTTAGCAGTGCTATTAGCACTGAAACTGCTGACTGTGGAACCAGGACAGTCTCTGTGGACTCATGAGCCTGAAGGGCTCTTTATTTTCCCTCTTAAATGAGTTTAGAAGCAGAGGTGGAGCTGCCAGGAACAATCCCTGGTAAGGTTAAGCAGGTGGAGCTTCCAGTGGGACCTCTCATCCTCCTGCAAGGCACCTCGTGGTCTCTGGAGGTTGCCTACAGCTCTTACAGCTGGGTTTTGCTGCTGGGAGGCCACAGATCTCTGCTCAACACACACATGAAGACAATGTGTCTGTCCCAGGAGCCAGACAGAGTGAAAAGCCTTTGCTGGCACGACTGACTGAGCCCAGTATAATAACAATTTCTAAACCATCCCACTAATTATTATGAGGGAAGTCGCTAATCATCTGCCAGGGAGGCTTGAGTTATGCAGGCTCACACCTCTGCTTGTTAAAAACTGCTTTGCCATGATTTATAAATTTAGAAGCATAGCCATCCTCCCTAATACCTTCTCCAGCGCTGAGTCTGCAGAGCACTCACTCAGGGTGTGAAACACCACAGCTACACCGACTTGGACAGGGATTTACAGCAGCAGGAGCTGCCTGCCATGTCCTGTTTAAAACCCAGTATTGTCAGGAGGGAAATCAAATCATAGGAGCCTACACGAGAGAAACAAATTTCAGGGGCAAGAGGTAAACCAGCGGAATCTCTCCTCGATTGAAGTGCAAATGTTCCCCATGCTAAATGGCTTCCTGACAGGCAGGGCCAACATTTAATAAATAAAAGGAAGCATAAAGATTCCCAGTACACCCACCCGTGCTGACTCACGGACTTGTGCTGCATTCAAAACCAATGCATGCTAAAAGTTCCCATTTAAACCCTATTCAAGGCCTTGAAACAATTTGACTAATGCATTTCCTCAATTTCTTTTCACACCCCCTCTAATTTATATTCCTGCAGTTTTCTTTTTTTTTTTTTTCCTTTTTTTTTCATGCTGCTCTGTTTGCTAGGCTGTCCACAGCCACTCTGCACCCAAGGGGGCTCAGAGGCAGCTGGGGGCTGAGCAGCTCCATGGGGAATGATGTGGGCAACTCAGGACACAGCTCTGCTAGGATGTGGCCTGATGTAAAGTAGTGGGGTTTTTCCCCCCAAAAAATGTAGGGCTGCTCTCTCAGCTTCTTCCTCTTTCTTCTGGCAGCAACAAAACTTGGGCTGCAGAAATAACGTGCAAGGAGCAGAGCTGGACCAGGATCAGGCATCCCAAAGGATGTCCAGGAGGCATCAGTGTCACCAAACAGTGTCCACCACACTTCAGTCAGCAAGGCAGAGCTTATCTGCTCACCTCTCCTGTGTCCACCAAGTCCTATTTCACATAGTTTTGTAAAAAAAAAAAAAAAAAAACCTATTTCACATAGTTTTGTAAAAAAAAAAAAAAAGGTAAAATCAAGAGTTTGTGCTGTCCTCAAAGTTTGGGCTATTGAGCCCCATGGCACAGCAACCCCTTGCAGCCAGACATTGTCAAGCCCTAAGGCAGAACTTCTTTCACACATTAATAAGCAATTTATAGCAGAACTGTTCTTATCTCTGCTCCCTAAACCTGCCTCCCTCTGAGGATAATGGAGCACAGAGCACTCAGTGTTCCTCACACCACACCCACTCCTTGCACCTCCTTGCATCTCACTGGAAATGCTCTACACTGGTCATTTAACGTGGTTTTAGGGACACAGTGGACTTGGCATTGCTAGGTTAACAGCTGGTGATGATCCTAGAAGTGCTTTCAACCAAAATGATTCTTTGATTCTATGACAGGATCCTGAAAAAGCCCACAGAGCCACTACACCTGGGACAAGGACATGTGGGACTCTTGCATACTTTGCACTTGACATGAAATTAGAAAGCAGCACTTTTGCAGGTACTCCTTGCTGTATGTCTGGTGTGTGATCTGGCTGTGAAATATCCCCTGGAGCTGCTGCACATCCTCCTCCTTCAGCAGCACCTCCAACCTGGCTGCAGCAGAGCGATGCCGAGGGCTTGCCACGTCTCCTCCTTTTCTTGGGGTACTCTTAACTGAAGTGAACAAATCTGCCTGGTGTTATAGTTGAGGCAAATAATAACTGAAGCTTCAGCAGCATCTCCATTACAAATTCACAGCTCTGATCCATGCAGAGTTTATAATAACATTTTACTTAGCTGGCTGCCACAGGGCAGCCACTGCTGCTCTGGGAGATTGTCTTCAGACTCTGCGGTGTCTCATCTGAGTGGGAAGTTTCTCTCTGCCCTTGATCAAGGCTTTCTTTGAAGATTAGGGTCTTGCACAGTTATGGAAATGGTTTGGAAAGGCAAGAACAGAAAAGGGAAATGTTATACTTTTGGTGATCACACTGGAGATACAGATGGGGTTTTGCTGAGGGCAGCTTCAAAATGGCCCCCATGAGCATAATCTGAATTCCAAAGGGAAATCTGGCTTGGAAGAATTTCTGTCCCTCCATTTCAGGCCCCTGAAATGGTGGTGAAGTGGTGGGATTCTGCACAGAGCCTCTGTCCCTGTGCTGCTGCTGTCACTCCTTTGCTTGCAGCAGGAGTGATCTGTGAGTGGCTTTGAAGAGCCACATGAAAATCCAGTCATGTAGGGTCTCTAAATAAATGTTCATTACTTGACTTTAATTTTTTTACCCGTGTTTTCAACCCACATCAGTGATCAAACCAGCAAGAGACTGCTCCAACACACCAAAGAACAAGCTCTGACTGGCCACCCAGTCTGATGAGAATACATCCCCCAAATCTTTAAGCATATTCACTTATTAACAGAGAACAAAATATTTCAAAGAAGGTGGAATCCTCAGAGTCTTCTCTTCTTCACCATGAAAATTTAATCACAAGCAATTTCACTCATTCTCCTTGCTGAAAATACACCAAAAAGCCTCCCAGCCAGACAGGGGTAGGGAACCCTGTGCCCAGGAGGATCAGGTGAGGTGATGTAGAGAAGACATCCAATGCAATTTCAAGCTCTGAGCTCAGCTTGATGAGATAGATGGGATTTTCATGTGGTTCTCTGCTTTGTGATCACTGTGGGTTACACAGCAGTGGAAAATCAACACCACCATCAATGGTGCCTTGACAAATCTGCCCTGCTTTCTGCCTGCAAGTTGTGAATAAGGGAGGGTTCATTATGCACAAGTCCTCGTGCAGCAGTGTTGATCATGCAAATCCCCTGTTGTTCACTTTGATGTGCCTTTAAACTAAAGTCCTGACACTCTGCAAGATTAAAAATAAGGGGTCCTCCCCTACTTGCAGTGGAAATGTTGGCATTTCAATTTCAGACTGGCTGCTGATGTCAGTGGAAGTTAAATTTTTGCACTTTTCTTCGTTGAATGTTTTCTGTTTAAGCAGAAAATATAGATTTAGATATGTGTATGCTTACACACATACATGCAACCATATACACATGTCTAAGCTTGAAGAGGTTTCATAGTAAGGCTGTCAACCATCATCACAGAGCAATAGAAAGTGATAAACAAGAGGACCCTGCTGAAATATCATCTGGCAGGTGGGATGGTGTGTCCCTTGAAGTTTCAGCAGAGCAGCATCTGCAGACACACACACATGGCCCAGGGGTCAGGGAACAGGACAGGATCACACATTCCTGTCAGTGTGACCTCACTGGCATCCCAATGATGCCATTTCTCCAAAGACACAAACGGCACAATAGGAATGACTGCAACTTGTTTAGCTAATAACAAGGAAACAGGGCTCAACACAGAGCTATCCTTGAATTACGCTGTTCTTTAAACTTAGCATTTCTACCTATGTTGTTGATTAAAATTTTTTGCGAGGGAAGGACAGACTTATCAGAAGGTGCTGCCTTTATCCACCCCATTAATTCTTCCCATGTGCAGTACACAGTGTGTGTTGTGCAGCTCCTGCACATCTCAACAGCCTCTGTGTGATGTCTTTGCTGTTTTTTGTAGTCAGAGGGAGCACCCACAGGCATCTTATCTGGGAAGAGCTTCAGTGAATGCTGAGGGATCCAGTGATGTCCTGGCTGTGTGTAATGACTGCAGAATTCAGTGAGAGAATTCACTCACTGGCCTCACAACTGAAAGAGAAGTGAATGCTCCAATGAAGATAAGAGTCATGTTCTTTGGAAACATGGAGGCAAGGAAGGAAACACAATTTGGCACTTGCTGCAGGTATCTTGAGGCTTCCAGCTCTATCAGCACATGGAGGGAAGAAGGGGTGGTGGATATTTCTGGTTTGATTTCTTGCGAGTCTTTAGACAAGATGTTCTGCTGATCCACCTGGGGGTGGCTTTGAGTGGAGCTGTCCTGAATGGAGGAGCTGTCCTATACTGTGTGTTTATCACTTAATACCAGAAAAAGGAAAATCTCTCCAACAGTTTTGCTGCCAAACAACTCAGTCAAAAGGAAAATTTCCTTCCCTTCTGTTACCAGAAAACTCACTCCTCCTGAGGTCTCCAACACTCCCTGCTTTCACAGAGAACAACTTGAGTGACCCAGTCAGTGAAACAGTGCCCTTGATCCACAGCAAACAGGGGCTTTTCTGGCTCAAGAGGGGCAGGGCTGCCCAGCCCAGGCTCATTCCCTCTTACAGAGCTCAGATCCCAGGAGAAGCAGGAGGTGGAGGTCAGACTCTGGTGCTGGGAATCTCTTCAGCATGTGAGGCTTTCTGAAAACTCACAGTGGGCAGGGCTGAGCTGGGAAACCCAGAAAACCCAGAACCAGAGCCATATGCTGGAGAGTACTCAGGCCTCCTACACACAAGAGAGATGGGGAACAACAGATCCAAACACTCGCACTTGCAGCCAGGGAAGGCACGAACAACTGCAGGCTCCTGGCCATGCCTGCAGCTGTAGGGTGACAAACACAGCGTCTCTGGCTCCCCCTCACCTTCACCACGGTGACCATGCCCTCGTTGGTGACGGGGTCGGTGCGGATGGTGAAGTGGCCCGAGGGGTCCCCGCTGATGATGCGGTAGATGGCGTTCCAGTTGGGAGAGTGCGGCTGGTCCCGGTCCAGCACCGTCAGGTTTGCCACCACCACCTCCACTCTGTTCTCAGGCACCTCTCCTGAGTACTGCAAAGAAAGACAGGGGTGGTCATGGAGGGAGCTTTCTGTCCACCCTCACACCTCCCTCCCCTCTCCCCTCCATCACCATGCCCATTGAGATGCCAGTCCTGTGAAGAGGACCATCTGTAATGAGCAACACCTCTCTTTCTCAATTCTGCTTTTCTGTTGGAACCCTGGTTACTGAGGATTTTAGACTTTCTGTGCTGACAGGCCCTGACCCCCAAGAGAACACTGCACTGCCTTTCCACTGCTTGAGTAAAGCAATCTGTGAAAGAGGTGAATGGCTCAGATATTCCCTGCTTTACTTCTGTATAAATGCCCTCTGGGATTCCCGTAGGTTGGATTTGCAGAATAGCTTTCTGAGATGCTTCCTTGATATCTGAAATCACATCTCAAGGAAGATCCACAGCTTGGTCCTCAGGTTTATTATGAGGAAAAGGCAAGACTTTTCCTATTTTTTTCCTTGGAGTATTTCCCAAAAGCCTAACTTCACCCCTCAGCCTGAAGGAGAAGAAACCCACTAAGCCATGCACAAGATTCAGCAAATGATCCAAGGAATCCAACAAAAAAACATTCTTGATATTCTTGCTTAATTACAGCAACCAGAGAGTTAATTGTCAACAGCAGGGGAAAATGGCATACTGAAATGTCTGAATATTTAGCATAACTATCTCCGTTTATCCCAAGGTATTTTGCCTCACTCAGATTTCAATGATGGCATTTTATTGCCTCTTCAGTGATTTTACTTCATTTTATTTCTTTCTTGCCCCTGATTTTGTCTCATTATTTGAAGTGTTTCTTGTGATTTTGCCACAGCCTTTCCTGATGCTTAATTCTCTCATTTAGCACTGATTTCCATGGAGCATGTCCCGTTCAGGCACATCCTGACACATTAACTGCATTCTTTCCTGCTTTCCAGTCCCTGATTTATCTCATGGCTGATCAGGGATCCTGGCCTGTGAATGCTTCCAGTGTTTGGGGCTCAAAAGCTGCCAGCAAGACACATTCCCAAATTTTCAACTGTCCTCATGTCTCAGCACTGCCTATTAGCAGCACTTGCAAATCAACACTGTGATTGACATATGGCAAATTAAACACTGGGGAAACGCCGGGAGCGGCTGGCTCCGAGTCTGCAACTGAAATTCTGGCCCCAAACTGCAGGAGCAGAGCACTTCTAAAATCTGGCCTTTGGTGTGCACAAATGCCAGGTTGTGTGAATGATAATAAATCATTCCTTTGTTAGCACAAGAGTCCGTTTCCCCTCCTAACCCATCCCCATCCTTTGGCATCTCCCTGGTATGGATGCTTGTGTTTAGTATATATTATTTCACTGCTGACAGCAAAAATATTCAATCTGCCTTATGCTAATGTGAATTTAAATTTGCCCTTTAGTGCTATCCTGAATGGCATCTTGCCCTCTTTTCTGCTATGCACCTGTCCTAAACAAGTTTTCATTAGTGAATGCAGATGGCATCTCTTTCCAGCCATGCAGAGAGGTGGGGAAGAACAGTGGGAAGCTGCAGGATAATTCTTATTCTGCTACATGCTACAGCTCTTCTTTTCTCTTTATTTCCCCTGATTTCACTTGTTCTTTACCCATTCTCTTGCCCAATTTGGAGTCTCTGCGGCACACAGCTTAAGCAAGGGAAATATATGGAAATTTATCAAAAGCCTCTTGAAAAATCCATTAGATTATGTCATATGTACACTCTACTATCAACCCTGTCTGAACTGAAGCAGATTAGTTAAACAGGATCATCTCTTCCTAAATCCACACTAGTTATTGCCCATTACATTAAATTAATGTTGTATGGCATGGCAGCAGTGACAAGCTGATGAGCCCCCAGTCTCTTTTAGGCTGCGCTGCTGACAACAAGGTATCATACTGTAATTCCAAAGGAGTTAAACACTCTGTGAAACCACCTCAAATCTTCAACTCAGGACCACAGATTTCATCTGTCAATCCTGGGCTTATGCCCTGCAGAACCGAACAGAATGAAGTCATCAAGAACAAACCTTGATGACTATCAGCTGCATGTAACCCATTTAGGAGGGCCAGTCCTAAATGATCCCTGAACATGTTCAGTAGGTCACAGCCCAGGTGCTGCCAATGAGTTTGGGTCACATGGAAAAGCCCCACACAGATTTTACAGCAGCTCCTCTAGCAGCCATCACAACATCTATTTTCAGCCCACAGTGACAGAGCTTACACATTTGAAAACATGAGGTTATAGTAAAAAATATAAATACACAAGCACATGCCAATGTAAAGCCTGGAGAAAGATCACAGCAGCCTATAAAGCTTTTCCCTGGGGCGAATATCACAGTGCTCAGCACATCCTGGGCAATCCAGGGGTTCATCCACTTGTTGTTGACCTCTGTTAGGTACAGTTAGGAAATTATCAGTCCTAAGCAGAATTGAGAGTGGATACTGCTTACTGTGCTTAAAAAGCAAAGTATTATTCTGAGGAGAACAGAGCACCTTCACTGGAATCAAAGGAGCCATCCAAAGCTATTCAGGGTAAAAAGCAAATCTTGGAGAGATGTGCCATGAAGAAAAGAGTAATTTTCATCAGCTACAGATCAGCAGCTACAGGGAATTCAAACTGGAGTCTGCCTTTCCTCCCTCTCTCACTCCCCCACTATCATTATTATAGGTAAATGCTGTAATGTGTATTGTCCACAATTGTCTTTACCTTTAATAAAATTAAGTAATGACATTAAATTACACCTGCTAAAGGAAGGATGGCAGCTCAAAGCTACCCACACTTCTTTAATGTCATTCCCTCCCTACCCTGGAGTAATTCAGGATAATGAACATCTTTCACTATGCTGCTTTCCAGCATTCCCTCTGCTCTAAGTTCTCTTTCATAAGATTACAATTGATTTTCAAATAAAGAGAAGCATATCTATTCAAACAAGGTAAAACAATGGGCAACAGAGGAGCTGCTGGAGTAAACACAAGATTGATAAAGCAGTGCTTGACCTATACCTGTAGCATTTATTCATATTCCCCTGTATTTCATTTAGCCTCACTTTCAATTGTTGCATTAGAAGTCCTTGATTTCCAGAAAAATTTTAAAGACCACTCATAAAGATTTCTCTGGCTGATTGTTACACACTTCCCTTTCCTTCTCAGGTAAGGATTCATTCTGAAACTGTCACGTTCTTAAATCCTTAAATTCTGCGGGTAATTTTTTCTTCCCCTCCTATAAAGGGCTGTGCTGGCAAAACTCCTTCTCCCACTCCCCTTGAGCTGGCCCCTCTGAAGTTATGCCTTGCTGAAAAGGAAATAATTCATTCTGATTTTTGGGTTGGTACTAAAATTGGTTAATCCCAGAATTTGTCTTTCATGTCATTTGGACCTGACAGCACATAAACACACAGACAAATATCAGTGCAGAGGAGAAAGGGATTGATGTGGGGGACAAATGATGAATTCACACCATGACTTGACTTTGTGCAATAAATCTGGAGTCTGGCCAGTGAAGCCATGCACAGCTGAGTAAAACCAATTAGCTACTGCAGCCACTCCTAGGGAGATGTGGGACTGAGACAGATGAACACAAGGATAATTATTCCGGCTTCCTTCTAAAGGGAATTCCTTTTTTTCCAATGTTCTTACTTCTTTCCCTGGCTGGTTTTGCTAAAAAGCTGCAAAGGCAAAGACTTGTTCAGAGGAATGTCTGCAGGAAAGATCTTTCTGTTGCCTCCAGTGATGACCCAACATTTGTTCCAGGCAGCAGTGGTTTATGAAGGCTGAATCGCCTGGACAAACAGTGTTTCATGACCTACAGCTATGGATTAACAGAAGAATAAGGGCATCTCAGTGCTCTTATCGGACTCTGAGCCCCTCCCCAGACAGATATGACTGCTGGAAAGTGTTGGATCTTCTCTCCAGGTCCATTGGGCTGGGAGAAACTGAAATGACAGTGAGTGTATGGGGTGGTGGGGGATCCCATCCCTCCCCAGTTCCTGCTGCCAGCCTGCCCTATCAGGCTCTGGAGCTGAGGTGATGTGCAGCCAGGGATCCCAGCACTCAGGGGGCTCCACTGGCTGAATAAAACCCACAGCTCCTCACACCTCAGGGTATCCCCCCAACCCCATGCTGGCATCCCAGGCAAGGGTTTGCCTTTTTTGCCAACAAAGATTCTTGAAAAGCAGGAAAAATTAATAAACAATTGTGGTCTGGTTGCAGCAGTGTGTGTAAAATGGGCTGGGGGGGAAGGAGAAAATCTCCTAATAAATCATTAATTGTGATGTGCCTGCCCAACTGCAGCACGGAAACAAGCAAATGCCATCCTAATTGATTGCTTCTTATTCCATCTTTATAGGCCTGCATTTTTTATTGTGTGGGTTGAATGAGCCCAGAGGTGTAAAAAACTTCTAGATTGTACTCTGTGTATCTGCCAACTTGATATTTAGATCAATAATGCTCTTTCCCCCCCCCCTCCCTTCTACTCCTACTACTGGTAATTTAGCTTTTCTTCCTAGCAGACTAATTGCTGTTTTCTTAAGCCTTACTATCAATTCTGTGACCTTTAATTTCCAATATAGTTTTCTGTGGGGATGGCTGTGCTGGGCTGTGAGTTATCCCAGCTCTCAGCTGCTGTGACAGTCACACAGGGACTGCCAAGGTCTCCCTCCACTGTGTGCAAAGGAGACCATGAGCTTGCTCAAATCCCCACAAAACCCCTGTAAACTCTGCCTTATTTTGAAAGCCAGGCTTTGAAATGCTCATTTCTGGTTTTATTAAACTACTCACTCTGGTGAGGTCTCCAGTGATCACCACTGATGTCCTCATTGCTTTTTGAGGCTGCTCTGCATTCCACCAGCTAGCAGCCCCTCCATAAACCTCTGGGCTGTTGTTTTTTCCAGGTTCATGGCCACAAAATCCCCTGCACTGCTTCAGTTTCACATCCACGTGGATCTCCTCCACAGCCCATCCATGCATTCACACCCAGACCCTCTCAAAGGAACTGCCTGGGCTGCAGCATCACCTGGTG